GCCTTGCAATTCTAGGGTGTGGAGGGGCCCCTTTAAGCTATGGGGAAATGCAGGGGGACATGCCTGGGAGAATCAGCTAGTTGTGGTCCCATATGGACCTTCTTGCACTGCCTTTGGTGCCTTTTCATAATCTTTCTTGGTGGCAAGTTCTAGTTACAGAGCTGCTACTGAGGCTCAGCTCTTCCCCTGCCACCTCCTGACACCACTAATAAAGCTCTCTCTTTCTTCTAAGACATTATTTGAACAAACTTAAGCTGTTTTGGGGGGAGGGAGGGAATGAGTTCACTGCTTCAAGCCTGCAGGATCTGGGGTTGCAGAGGGTCCTGGCCATGTGCTCACTGTGCTCTTTGCTGCTGAGGCTTTGTGGGTCCAGGACATTAGGCAGCATTTCAGACAAACCTCTCAGGCATGGCCCAGGCAGCAGGGAAGGGTGTCTGTGTGGTTCTGCTAATAAGGAGGCAGCCCCTAATGAGTCCACCTCTGCTGTCCTGCCTCTCCAAGAGGGAAGGGAGAAACCTCAGTGTGTCCCCAAGTCAGAGTTGATCTCACAAAAGAGTTGCCCCACTCACAGAGGATCAGGAATCCACTGGACAATGCCTTGGTGCCATCGTGCCTAGTGAGTGGATCTAGTGACCTGTTGCTGAGGTATTAATTTTTGGGGAAGGTGCCGTGTTTCCAAGTCCAGAACGTTCAATTTGCAAAGTGTACTCATTCCAGGCTGGAGTAGGAACTGGGGAGTACAGGTAGGGACCCAGAGCTATGAAAGCACTTGGCTCACTGCCATGCAAGGAAACCTCCTGGACAGGGTTTGGCTAATAAATGGCTGGTGTTTGTGCCAGAGACTCCACTATACAGCTCAGCAGGAGCAGGCTCTTCTCCCCCAGGGCCACAGCTCCGGTGTGCTGGGACGACAACCAGGTCCCTGCTGTTTTCTCTAGTAACAATAACAGTTGATTTACAGTGCACTGTTCTTCACCGGCCTTTCTCCAAAGAGGGTCCTGTAGTGGGAGGAAGCAGCAGGGGATTCTCTGATTGAATAATGCTGCTCTGACAACCCACCCCACAAGCAAGCACACTCAGCTCTTGCCGCTCCAGCTGAAGGATTTCTGCTGGTGTTCCCCATCCCAAGCTCAGGCCATCCAGCTGCAGCTCTGACATGTTCCACAGGCTGCATTTTGTGCATGGTTACATGGAGGATTCCAGGAAGGTATGGGTAGGAAGGGGATGAAGAGCAGCAGATGCAGAACGGTCACCACAGCTGCCTGGGCAGCTCACAGGGCATCACAGTCCAGCTCTGCATCACTGAGGACACAGTTCAGTTTCTAGGCTGAATGCCACCTGTTACTCTAATTTATTCCTCTGGGATGCACAAGCCGTCTTGCTGACTGTCCAGTTGTACTGAATGCAGAATGTCCTGGGCCCACTTTCTATTGATTCCCCTGCTCTCAGAGACCAGGTCCCCATCTTCTTCAGCATGTCTCTGACGGAAGTTTTATTAATGCAAAACGAATATCCCTCTGGAAAATGAAGTCCAGAAATTAATAATGAATTAAAACAACTTGCCACAGGCATTGCTAATGAGCTCTTTGTCTGCGCAGCTCACATGAAAGGAGGTCATTGCTCAGCCGTTCCCATCGCGAATGGCAAGAAGATTAACCGTTAACATCGAGCACGAGGGGCTCTCCTGGGACATCGGGACAGGCTGCGGCTCAGCTTGTGCCTGGCTGGGTTTTCCTGCCTTATCCCTGCTGTGCAAGTTTGTCTTGAGGAGTATTTACTACCTGGAGAAGACGCCTTCCTTCTCTCTCCTCCAAAGGACTCAGGTTGCCTGTCTGTGCTGGGAGGACACGGGAGTCATCCCAAGGGAAAGGACAATAACCTTGCAGAGCTTAAGGGTAGAGAGGAAAGTAATCTTGAGGGGGACTAGCAAGGCTTAACTTCACTGCTTCATAAGCCTCTTCAGGGACTCTGGCCCAGTAACTAACTTGGCACTGCTCCAGTGCCGGGTCTGCATCTATTGTTCTTTCCCCTAATCTGGCAAGGCAAGGGGTTATCCTGCCTTATCTGCTACCACAGGCTTTGGAGGAGGCCCCACAGCAAGGGCACTGGAGATCCTGCCTCTGCCAAGCCCCAGGGGCAGGAGTGGGGCTGTGCTGGGTGAGGAGCATCCACTACTGGGCAGTAGAGAAGGGAAAGCTGTCACAGCAAGCTGACCATCTCTCCATGGCTTTTTCATCATCCAGGTCTCACTCAGCAAAAATGAGGAAGCACCATGTTGCATTTACCCATCTTGTCTGAGAAGGGTGGCTGAAGGCGAGTACCTTTGGGTGCTGCTCCCCACTGGATAGCTGGGGCTGGATGCAGTATTTTGTGAGGTGAGGGATGCTGGACATCACTTCTCCATGAGGTGGCTGAACAGCAGAAGGGGATTTTACCCTTTGACAGTGTCCCCTGTGGCACTCCTGGCTGGCTGGACCAGAGGGACCCATCACTCCCCCCTGTTCATGGGAAGCCTGTTACACATCAGCTTTTTATTGCTCTGTTCTGCTTTCTTGTGAAATATGAAAGCTCAGCTTATTCCTTCCAAGTGCTTAAGCTATTATATTAGAGTCATGCTGTTTAACCACCCTTCTCCACCCCTGCCCTCTCAGGTGGGACACTGATGGCTCACTCCCTCGCTTGGCAGCACAATTGCTTGTTTGTCAAATAACTGAGTCACCCCAGAGCACTGGGTGCCAGGCAGTGACAGCCACGCAGCTCTGAGCCTGCAATGCACTCGGACATGGGCATGGCTGGATTCACCTCCACCAACCACCCCCACCTTGGCCACGGAGGAGTCAGACCTGCCATATATTCCTACCTATCCTCTTGTGGTACTGCTGGATTGGAAAGAAATCCCTTTCTGGTGCAGAGAGAATGCAGCCCAATCAGGAGAGAAAGTAGCAGGGAGACTTGAGCAGGAGCAAGGGAAAAGCACAGCTTCAAACTACACATTGACAGGCTCAAACCTCTCTTCCTCTCTCCCCTTTAAAACTTTTTGCATGCTTGTCTGTTGTTAAGCTGAAAACTCACCCAACACCCCACAGTAACCTGCCACCTGCACTGAGCCTGTGTATCTCTGAATCCACCTGGCAGTCTTACCATCCTCTTTGTCACAGTATTTTTGTGTATTGTATGTCAAACTGTAGTTTGTTCTTCAAATGCTCTGGCAAAGAGAGGTTCTTCTTAAAGGAGAAAGGAATACTGCAAATGTCCCTCTCACCCAGCACAATGCCAGGAGAGAAGTACCTGAGGAGTCTCCAGAAAGTCTGGTGTAGCTGGTGTGCTCTTTGCTTGGGTCCCTGAAGGGACTTAAGGGGACAGGGGATCTGACCATGACCTCATGCCTGGTCTGCTCATCTCTGAGCACTGTTTGGGAGCTGATTCAGGAGTGAAAATCAATGCAGCCAGCAGCAAAGTCATAGCACAGACTCCAACAGCTGTGTCTGAGAAGTCTGACTTGGGAATTCGAATGAAGCTGGTTGCATCCCACCTATTTGTTACCTGCCAGCATGTTCCTCCTACACAGCATCTTTTTTTTGTATTCAGAGGCTTCTTTAAGCCAATGCTGCATTTAGGCAGCTATTGGTTCTTTCTTTGATGGAATGACCTAGAGACCCCCTGTGCAGTGGGTGCCCCAAAGGGGCAGTTCAGACGTTGCTGTAACTAAACCAGAGCAGAGAGAAGGGTGTATAGATGCCAGGGAAGTATACAGGCAAAGTCTCAGCTATGTCAAATACTAAAATAGTGCTGGGTTTAGGGACCTTTTCAGAGGTTGAGAGTCTTATGAATCTGTTTGGGTGTTAAAGTACAAATCAGGGTTTTTTCAACAGAAGCTGTGTTTGTGTTTGCAGGACAGGGCAGTTGATTAGGACAGCAGGGTTATCAGGTCCCCGACACCCCTTTTCTGCACAGCATCATCATTTCACCTCCATTTAACAACAGGTTCGTGTCTGGGGTAACTGACTCAGCTGCCTGACAGACTGGTTGGGTCAGTCAAGCCTGCAGACAGTTTTATTTTCACTGAGGCTTGCAGCACAGAGATTTGTAGACCAAATCCTTATAAGCAGTCACGCCGCTGGGATCTCTAACCCCAGCTGTGCCAGTGCTGCTGTAACGATTGCAGCTCTGGGATCTGGGGCTATTGCAGGCTGCAGCCACCTGGATCCTTTGAACCCCTGTTTCCTACCAGTGACAGTCAGGACAAGAGCTGTGTTATGGCCAAGGCTTCAGAAGTCTGGTCAGAAACACAGGAGCTCAGCTGAGCAGGGGAAAAGTCATAGAGGCAGAAGGACACATTGGAGTTAAAAGACAAATAAGATTTTGCAGAAAAGGTAGTAATGCACCATCCTCTGATTCTCTGAGCTTGGTTTTTATGCTCTTACAAATGGTATTTTGAACATGTGTGCTACTTGCCTTTCTTTCCAAGTGCCTAAATTTGAGGATGTATCCTTATCTCTATATGACAAGCAATAGTGAATGGGAAACTATTTTGTTCTGTCATTTACTACTCATTTGGTCCTGTCACATCCTATCTGTTGGCACTATGTATTTTGTTAGTGTTATGAGCATATATCCATGCTGTGTGTGAGAGAGTGGGTGTCTGAAATGTGTTTGCAAAGGTCCTTGATAAAAAGCTTTAACAACTAAAATTATCAAGAGAGGCAGGAGGGATCTGGTCCTGGTAGATCCCAGCACTGGCAGGGAGCAGGTCATCTGTCTACAGGGACATTAAGCGCTGAATAGGTCAGAATTGCCAGGTTTTTATTATTTACCTGGGAGGAAAACTACTGCTCATTTCAAGAGGCTAATGTTCCTTGCAGATTTAGCTTGAACACCAGAGAGAACATAAAAGCAACAGCTGTGGAGTGTCTTCAAGGATAGTGTTTTCCTCCAGAAGCCCGGTGCAGTTCTATCCAAGTGCTCCTCATTAATCACTTTCTTTCATTCTTGTTTTCCAGCCAAAGCTTTTGGCCAAGGAGTTGCTTGACTTGGTGGCATCTCATTTCAACCTGAAGGAGAAGGAGTACTTTGGAATTGCATTCACAGATGAAACGTAAGTGTGAAAAGTTGAAGACCTAAGAGGCAACTCTTAGATCACAGAAAATCTTGTTGGGTTTGCCCTAAGCAAAACAACCAGCGTAGAAACGCTGTGCACCCCAAGGTCCTAGACCAAGGTCTAGGAAGGCATGGACCTCACATCAGAGTCTGTCCTATGCTTCCCCTTCCTCAGGGGGCTTGAGGCCTCTCATGGCAAGTTAAGCATAGCTGGGAGTGAACAGAGGTGGTAACAGTCCCTTCCTAACCCCACGTTCAAAGAGTTGAAATCATTTGCCATTGTTAAAAGGTCTTATGGATCTAAGGTCCACTCACCAGTTCAAAATTATTACCACATTGACAGAACTGTTCAATCAAAGTGTTAATCAGTTTATTCACTCAAGCAGGCTTAAAAGTGATGCTATATTATTTCAAGGAAAGGGGAAAAAAAAAATCAACCTCACAACATTAATCTACTGTTTCTGATGTTTTAGATCCCAGATTGGAGTTTCTTAAAAAGAAAGAAGTAAGTGTGGGAAAGGAAGGGATTGCCAAATTTAGCATGAATTAAAAGCATTTTTAAATATAAAATTTCCATCATGGAAAGGATTTGACCTCACCAGGAATCATACAACAGCCTTACGGCTGAACTAAACCAAAGGATGGGACACTGACGCTGCTGTCACCTCAATGCTGGTTGTTTGCCTAGAACCTCAGCTCCCAGAATCCTCAAATTACCACAAAATTTGAGGGTTTGTCTCAAGGCAGGCTATATCTACCCCCTGATTAAACAGCAAGAATAAAATTAGCAGTGGAGAAACATTAAGGTCTGCCAAAGTCTATGATTAGTCCTAGGCTGTGACCCCTCAGTGCTACTGCACAATCCCTGCTACATTTTTCCAGCTGTCTGTTTTCTCTCAGGAGTTACACTGTCCTTGGCATATGGACTATGTCTGTTTGCACACCCACCATACTCGGTTTGCCATAGGTTTTCTCTTTGCATATGAATCAGGAAGAGGCTTCCCACACCTGTCTCATTTAAAAAACCCAAGATTTTCAAGCCAATGCTGTGTCCCCAGAACAGCTGAGTCAGCAGTATTGCTGTCGTGAGCCAGTTCCGCTTCCCTGCTGAAGTAGCAGGGAAATGTAAATCATCTGCTGGAATAACAATTGAGGATCGGGTAATCAGAGGCTGCTGGATAATTGCACAAGCATATCCTCATTCATCTCTGCAGAGATCACCCCTCTAAAGTCAATTCCTTTGGCAAGTGCCTGCCTTGGACAGCCTGAGGCCATCTCAGGACACAGCTCCCAGGATGCAGGAACACTCAGCATCAGGCACGTGCAGACACAGAACCCAAATCCCAGAATCCATCCCAGATCACTGATGTGAGCAGCTCAGCCCTGTAGGAGATTTCCAACCCAACACCAATTAATGAGACTGATCCTCCAAGGAGGAACAGCAGGAGGCATTGGCCATTTTTACAGCAGGAGGAGGAAATTGCTCTTACAATGGTCTTATTTCATGTTGGAGAGAGCAAGTTACTCAGTGGGTGCTGCCTGAGAGGTGCAGGAAAACAACCCAGAGAAGCCAAAGCACACTAGGAGGTGAAAATGTTCTCTTAAGAGTCCTAACAGCACAGGTGAGAAGTGAGACACAGGTCAGACTGTAACCAGAGCAGCTGAGCAAGTCCCAGCTCTCAGCTGAGCTGTGAGGGCACAGGGCTCCCCTGGGAGTGCAAGGGAAGCTAATGAGGAGGTGTCAGCAATTAGAGAGAGCCCAGTCTCCCCTGGGGCCTACAGGTTTAACTCCAAATGGTGTGAGTGAGGATCTGAGTTGGCAATGGGAGGAAGTGCGAGCAGCTGATAGAGGTTGTTGAGGCAGAGCTCGAAGATACACAGTGGATGCAGATGGATATGCTCTGTCCTGGCAGGATTTCAAAGGGTTAGGTGATGGCATCCACTCTCCTGGTCACCTTCAGACCTGTAGTCAAGGTGAAGCAGGATGCATTTTAGGAAATCCTCATCCAGCCTACATGAAAGTTTTGGGGACACCCTCATTAAATCAAGGAAACGCAATCCAGAAACAAGCCAGTAAGTCCAAGCTGATCTGAACCTGATCTGCAGGTTCAACCAAGCTGCTCTGCAGCCCTTCTTGCATCCCACCGTGACTGACATTTGCACTGAAGCTTTTTCAGTGCTGTGAATATAACCTTGACAAAAGTATTTCTTCTTCAGTTGTAAAACCCTTTGAATAGAATTGTCACAAACAGCAATTGTTTTCTTTGACTGAACATAGACAAAAGAATATACCTGAGGCCTTGGACAGGGTCTTGGAAATGGATGTTCCATGTCAACTTGAGAGAATAAACTGGGCTGTCTGCACCACAGACCTTAACCTGCAATGTGAAATGGAAATATAAAAAAATCCCCTTTCTCAAAAAAGTAGTAAAAACAGTCTCCTAATTTGTATTTGCAGGGCACCTAATGCAGCCCTTTAGCTGATACAGACCAGGCATGTGAAAAGAAACTCTTTAATTCTATGACACAGACCCTCAGGGACTTCCTTCTCTTCACTCTCCACTGAGTTTCCGTGTGCCTTACTTGAAGGGAACTTATAACCAGATAAAACAGAACAAGCCTGGTTCATAAATGTAGTCTGGGGTTGGCTAAATCGCAAGTTTAGAAAGAAGAAAAGCCACTAAAGTATTAAATCAATTCTTCTATTTAAGAGTAAAAGCTCTATGAGAGTAATTTATTTAGAAATTATTTGGACTGGGGATTTCCATTCATTAGTTCTGCTCTATCATGACAACCTTAGAAGAAAATCAATAGGAACAACCTTTGCGTTGGCAACTTAATAGTTTCTTGTGATAATATAGGGCCATTACTGCATTCAGCGTGACTAAAATTAGATTGTCAGACTATTATGGAGGGGGGAATAACGCCTTCTATTTTAATGATCATAGAACGCTTTATGGTGAGCCATTAACTGCGGGAGAGCACAGGTCAAAAGGATGTCCCTGTACAGCACGTGGGGCCAAGCTTCACAGGAAGCCAGAAGAGCAATATGCTGGTTGATTAAAACTGAAAAAGAATGGGGAAAGGGCTATTTTTTTTTTTTTTAGTTCAGCTGGTTATGAATCTCCACTAAGTGCCCTTTCCCTTGGCATCAGCTCCTCCAGCATTCACTGAGAGCAAGTGCTCAGGATTACCCTTCTGTTCACTGCAGACTGTCCGTCTGGGCCATGGGCAGATTTTCCACATCCTTTACTTGTCCTTAGATGCGAGTCACCTGCTCCATGGAGAGTTACCAGTTTTTGCATCCCACAGCTCCGTGGGTCCAACCAAAAGCTGACTCAAACCCTTTTGCTCCCTCACCAGAGAAGAACCTGCAGAACTGCTTCTTCACCTGATTAATACATATGATAAAAACTGCAAGGCACTGAGAGCCCCAATATTTGTTTTACATGTGTCTAGAGATTGTATTGATGTGATAGAGAATGCCCTTGAGCAGCACAGGACCCTATGGCCAAAGGGATGGCAAAGGGACAGCAGGGTACCATCCTTCCCTGGAATACTCTCTCATCCCTGGGAACTGGGGGGAAGCCTATTTCCACCCTCCGGCCACGTGGCAGAGCCAAAATGAGGGAGCAGGTGTCTCACATCCTGGTTGAACAGCTGGTCCACTGGAGGGTGCAGCATTCAGAGTAGCGTCCTGCTCTGGCGCTGGACCAGTTCCTTTATCACCAAGTCCACTCTTTTCCAAAATCTGTATAGTTAAATTCATATAGCTCCTTGAGTTTCTCGGCCACTTCAAAAGTATTTCTTAACTGAAAAAATCTGTGAGCTTAAAGGGTTTTTTGTTTCTGTCACGATTGATGAAACCATAAAATAGTTTATGTGGTTCCTATTATGTGAATTGATATTTCTCAGTGTCTACTCAATTCAACATGAGTTTGACACTGAAGGGGTGTGAGTTGGTTTATTGGTCCAAATACCTTTATGACACAAATCAATGTGGATCCACTTTGCAGAAAACTGGACACTAACCAGTAAAACTGCATAAACAGAACCACCTGGAGGCAAAGTACTCACTGATGTACCACACTTTACTGATAAAAGAAAACAGAATTACTGCACACAATTGACAATATGGACCCTGAGCACCAAAATCCATACTCAGTCTGTAAACTAAATGGACCCACTTTCTTCTCCTAAAAGCAATTATGTGGTTGTAGTTGACACATCAGTTTAACTGCCAACATGACTACCGCTCAACAGATAAAAATGATCTGACTTCCAATGTTTGACCTCCCTATAGGTCCCCCAAAACTGTTTACACCATTATTTGTGAATACA